AGGCTTTCGGGGGACATCTAAACACAAACCATGACATCTTCTCATGTTTCTATTGGCTTTTTGTTTGTTTTTGTGATGAGGTTGTGGGTCAATTATAGAGCAAGGACTTTTTTTGCTAGTATGGAGACTTCTTTAGTTAGTGACTGCTTTTCAGTGATGTAATCTGGGCATGGCTAACTATAGGCCACACATTTGTTAATTTTGGAGGGGAAGATGCAGTATATTCAGCCCAGTACTCAGTACCCAGAGGGGAATGGGCAATAGTATTGTTAATGATGCAAAAGCAATCCAGGTATTGGCATTAGAAAAACAATTATGCCACCCTGGCAAAAGCAACAAATCAGCAGCAATATTAACATCAAAGACACACTGGATATTGACATACCATAAGAACCAATAATGTACTACCTTTAACCATAGACAAGAGATCTAAAATTATAGTATATACACTATGGCAAACCAAATGCTGACATACAATAAATATCTACTAAATGCAACAAGTGTACCTCCACTAATAACAGAAAAGAATTCTAGAGCAATAGCATAGAGCTAACTATCTAAAGATTAATAAAGCTTAATAGTTATACTAGTAAAGATAGAGGGGGTGGGGAATAGAAGAATGAAAGAAGTAAAATTTGAAAAAGTAAACAATCCATGATGAGGAGAGCAAAGTGAGCTAAACAATCCTATTAAGGAGTAAAAAGAAATTAATAGAAATTGATAAAAAGTAACAGAAAAGAACAAAGAAAAATAGCAAAAGAAAGAAATAAAAAAGGAGAGAAAAACTTAAAGGGAAAATAAATAAAAAGATAAGAACCCAAACCCCAAAATCCAATGAAGAAAGAAAAAAAAAAGAAATTCATCTCCAAAAATTTCTGGTTTTTTTGAGTCAGGGTCTTTTCTTGCTGTATAGTTCAGGCTGACCTTGACCTCACTATGTAGCCTAGGCGAGCCTCAAACTCATGGCATCCCTGCTGCCTCGGCTTCCCAAGTGCTGGGATAACAGGTGTGTGCACCATGCTTCGCTTCTCTTTGTTTTTTGTTTATTGTTTGGTACTGGGGATCAAACTTGGGTCCTTGTGATTGCAAGGCAGGCGGCAGAACCACTGAGCTAAATCCACGGCCCTTTCTCTTTGTTTTTGAATGAGTAGTTTATTTCTAGGATGTTCAGTCTTGGAATCCAGCAGATACAGGAAAGAGATAGTGAGTCACTGCTAAGACCAATTTTGTTTCCACAGTCATGTTTTTGTGTGTGAATGTTAAATCCTGCCCTGCCTTTTCTGTTGGGTGTGCTAGTGCTCGGTCAATAGTGTCCTCCCTTAAGGCTGTATAGTAGTCACTTTGGCAAATCTCACTTTCCATGTTCCTCTGTGTACCGTCTCAGTTTTCTCTGGGTTTGTGAGGTGCTCCCCGCATCTCTGCTCCAAGATTCCTCTGTCTGCACATCTCAGGCTATGGCAGCTGTGCAAGCCAAGGTGTATCCTTGCTCACAATGGTGATGGGTAAGGCAATCAGGCCACTCATCTCTGTGCCGGATCTAGGCAGTGGGATGGGGTTTAAGCAGACCACTGAACTTAATGCCAGCACTTTTAGACCCAGCACTCCCTGAAAGCCACAGTTGCCAGGCTTGGCTTCTCACTGTGGAATTTGGGGCTCTCATGTCCTTCCTAGCCTGAGCTTGAACTTCTCAGGGCATCTTTGTTTAGCCCACACACTCTTGACAACTGTCTCTTATGGTCATCTCCCACCCAGTCACTGTCACAGGGGAATACCAGAAACTGAAGCAAAGTTGTTCTGTGGCTCATTCTTAAACAATTACCTCCTTCCCAAAATAGCTCCTGATTAAACCTTCACAAATTTAGTGAGTGGGTGCTACCCTGGATTTCTTCTCCAACTCTAGCCTGCCATGCAGAAGTAGTCACTTTTGGAGTAAAACTCTACACTGTTTTTGGAGTTTATGTAACTGTGCAGATTTCTTGGGGCTAGTAGTACTGCAGGTTCATGTTTCTCCCTGGAGCTGCCAACCCTCTCCAGGCTTTCTGTGTGTTGGCAGAGACAGGTGCCCCTTCCTGGGAGCTGGTGTGACCTTTCAGACTGTTTCATTCTTCTTTTTGTTCGTTTTTGAGACAGGGTCTCGCTATGTAGCGTTGGCTGCCCCTGAACTCACAGCAGTCCTCCTGCCTCAGGCTCCCAAGTGCTGGGATTACAGGTGTGCACCATCATGCCTGGCAACTGCTTTGTTCTTTTCTTTATGTTGTGCTCTATTTTTCTAGCTTTTTTGTAGTTTCTTGTTTACCTGTTAGCTCCCTCAGTTTCTCAGAGTTCTACTTCTTTTTTTTCTCTTCACCAAGTTATCTACGTCAAGACAATCTAGGTGTCTTGATTCCTGGTCCAGGAGAGGCTGTATTTTGCTGCTGATTGCTACTCTACATTTTTTTTTTCTTCCTGCATTTAGTCTCTTAAACTTCATAATTTTTTTTGGTGTCTCCTCACCTATGTACAACCTATAGGTAGAATTTACAAGTTACATATGTTATTTCAGATAACCAGATATCAATTATATTGCCAAGTATCATAAAATCAGTTTAGGTGTTTTTTTCATCATAGCCTTGCTTATAATAGTGAAAATATCCTGGAGTCTAGTGCACAGTTAAATAAATTGTGAAATGTCACACCATGAAATACCATGCAATCTTTAGAAGTTGTTTTTGTTCAATTTTTTTTTTTTTTTTGGTACCGGGGATGGAACTCGGGACCTTGTACTTGCGAGGCAGGCAGTAGAACCACTGAGCTAAATCCCTGGCCCTTAGAAGTTATTTTTGAAAAAATTTAACACATGGAAAATGTTTCCAATATTAAGTGAAAATTTAGAATACACAACTGAATTTAGAATTTGATCCTGCGCTGGGATGTATCTCAGTAGGAAAGTGCTTGCCTCTAGCTCCACATTAAAAAAAAAAAAAAAAAAGTGGAATTTGCTTACAATTTTAATAACACTTGAAAGGAAATATATTGCAATATTAAATGGTGATTGTCTTTGGATCTTTGGGTAGTAAGATCCTGGATGAATTTTGTTTTCTTCCCTAATTTTCTTTGGTTTATTTTATTTTACATTCATATTTTTTCTGTACTGGGGATTGAATCGAGACAATGTTGAGCTACATCCTCCGGCCTTTCTATCTGTTTATTTTAAGGTAAGTTTTCACTAAGTTGCCCAGGCTGGCCTTGAACTTGAGATCCTCCTGTCAAGCCTCCCAGGTAGCCTGTGATTATAGCCATCACCACCATACCAGGACTATATTTTCCAAATTTCATACCATGGACATATACTTCTGTAATTGGAGGGAAGTTAAAATGTTTTAACTTGCCAGACATTTTTAAGCAAGCCAAGGGTTCTGCCTGATATTAATGTGAGTAGATCTTAGGTACCCACTTCTGTATCCAACTTCAGTTGGATAATAATTCTTCACTAAAAGCAACATAATAAATCTGCTTGAGTACTACACTCTGGTATGTGACATCATTAATGAATAGGTTTTTTATTTTTTGTGGCGCTGGAGATTGAATGCAGGGCCTTGCACCTTGAGCTACATCCCCAACCTTGATGTATAGAATTTAACAGAAATCCTACCTCTTACTTTTCAGTTAGTGCTTTCATATTAAGGATGAGAATTATAAAATTTATCATTAAAAACTAATTATAGCTATTGTATCTTGGATGACTGTGACTAGGCCAGGTAGGCAATGGGGTCGAGAAGTATTTGACCTTATTTGTTACATGCAAAGAATTAAAAGTTAATTTTCCCACATGAAACAAATTAATAAAACACTAAATCTCCTATTAAAAAGCATTGAATTTCAGTGATTTTTTTGATCCCCTTAAGGTGTCCTTAAAATTACTATTAAGATGTGATATAAAAAATTAAAAAGTATTGTGGTATATCTCAGTGCTGGAGTGCTTGTGTAGCATGCACAAGGCTCTGAGTTTGATCCTCAGCATTGCTAAAAAATAAATAAAAAAGAAAGCTGGTCATGATGGTGCATGCCTCTAATCCCAGGACTTGGGAGGCTGGGGCAGGAGGATTACTGCAAGTTAGAGGCAGTTGTTGCTACATAGTAAGTTCAAGGCCAGCCTGAACTAATAGCGAGACCCTATCTCAAAAAACAAAAATAAATAAGTAAATGAGTAAATGAAAGTATTAAGTTAAAATAAGAAATCATAGGGGCCGGGTATTTAGCTCAGTGGTTCCAGCACCTGCCTCAAAAGCACAAGGTCCCAAGTTCAATCCCTGGTACCAAAAAAAAAAAAAAAAAAAAGAAAAGAAAAACATCATAAATTCTATGATATATATGACAGAAGTTGTACCTGGTTGGAAAGGGACAAGTTCTTAATTGGCCAGTATTTGGTATTTCTGTTCCCAGTGTTGTAGCATGTATCAGTAGAATAAAATAGACATTTTTTTTCTGATTAAGTTTATTGGTGCATTTTAGGTATACATTATGATCATGTGCAACATTGGGAATTTGAACCTGTATATGATATATCTTGGTTCTTGTTTTATCCGCATTCCTCTTCCCACACTTCCACCCCTCCACCCCTCCCTATTTACAAAAATTTTATTTGTTTTTTCCTTCTTTTCTCATGGATTTTTCTTTTCCTCCCCCCATTTTATTTCCCTTGCCTGTGGTTCATTTCTTCCTATTTTACATTATCTATTACGCATTTTGATCCTCATTTACACTTTCAGTTTCTTGCATCAGAGAAACTATTTGGTATTTACACATGTGTGTCCTATTTATTTCTTAAGAGTATGGCCTCAAGGTCCATCCATTTATCTATAAATGTCTCTAGTTTATCAGAGAATAGATATTTTAATCCATAGACTGAAATATTTATCCACAGAAAATTTTTTTCTGAAAAGAATATACATTTTTAGATTAAAATTTGATTTATAATTTTAATCTTTTAGATTAACTTATGGTCTCTTTTTTTCTTTCAGGCTTATCAAAGTTTTGGCTTTGTTGCAAAAAATGGTCAAGATTTAATGTTCCTCTGGTGAAAAGTGTGCATACTGTGATTTATGTCGGCCCAAGAAATACATAAACATGCTGTTCTCCCTCCTATCATTAGCAGAAGTGACAAGGAATTTTTGGAAAGTATGCAAAGATACATAATTACAGAAACTGAAAGAGCGGGCTGTAATGAGAAAGGGCCTGCTGATGAATATTATATCATATACAGAAATGTTTTCGATAAGGTATCACAATGCTCTTAAGAACTTTAAGTTTTTGCCAACTTATATTTCTGCCTTACTAATAACAATGCTTGTTTTACTATATTCTGCCTGTCATTTTTTTTTATATATAATCTCCTGAAATTCTTTTATTCGTACATTTTAGGTATACAATACATTTACATTTATCATTGGGTGCTTGTACCTGTACATGATGTATCTTGGTTCTTATTTTTTCCCCATTAAAAGGGTGTGTGCCCTTCACCCCTAAACCCTTCCCTATTTACATAGATTTTGTTTCCATTTTTTTTCTTTTCTCATAATTTTTCCTTTCCCCTTCCCCGCCCACCACCTCTGCCTATTATTTTTGAGTAGTTCATCCAGTTTGTCTGAAAGAGAAGAATGGGGAAAATACAATGTTGGATTTATATTACCTGCTAATAAGAGTTTACTTATTTTATCTTAGCAAGCCTTCTTTTTGTGTGTGTGGTACTGAGGGTTGAACCCATGGCCTTCAGACTGAGCTACATCCCCTGCTTTTTTATTGTATTTTTAATTTTGAGTCAGTCTAAGTTGCCCAAGCTGGCCTCAAATGTGTGACCCTCCTGCCTCAGCCTCCCAAGTAGCTGGAGTTGCAGGCATGCACTACCACATTGGGTTTAGCAGGCCATTTTGATCAGTAATTTGGCTGAGCCTTCTGATATCATTTTGACCCTTCCATCTGAAGGTTGCATACAAGAACCTGCTCATTCCTTGTTGTTTGGGGTTTGTTTATGGTGTCACTAAAGTCTTGGTTTAAATTTGATCTAGTACATTAAGCTGAGACCTCTCCAGCCAGCCAGAGTAACCTGTGCTTGTATTTCAACTACTATGGAGGCCAAGACTGGAGGATCCTTTGAAACCAGGAGATCAAGGACAGCCTAGGCAGTATGTTGAGAAACCTGGTTCAGAATAAATGAAGAAAACAAACAGGGCTGGGGATTTAGCTCAGTAGTTCCACCACCTGCATTGCAAGCGCAAGGTCCCGAGTTAGATCCCCGATACCAAAAAAAAAAAAAAAGGAAAAAAAACTTGATATAAATATTGAGAACTCTTATAGTTACAGGTCTCGATAAGCATGGTAAACGGGGTTTGACTAGACTTACAGGAAGAGATAAGATTAGAAAGTGTTATATATTTGATTTTGCTCTTTAAAATTTTACAAATAACTTTTTCCTTATAAACAACTACAGTTTGCCCATTGATTCTAATTATTTTGCCTTAAAAAAAAAAAAAGCCCTCCTTTGAAAGAAGCCCTGAAAGTAAACTTAGTGAAGTCAGCATCCTTTTCTCTTTGCCGGGAGTAAGTGCTTACCTTAACACTTCCGTACACTATTGGTCACTGAGTAAAACAGACAAAACTGGAAATCAGTCTTTTGTTTTTTAAATATGACATTATAACTCTTTATTTCCCCTCTAAGTAAAAACCTAGTGGCATAGCCAGGTGTGGTGGTACATGCCTGTAATCCCAACACTCTAGGAGACCGAGGTGGGAAGATTACCACAAGTTTGAACCAAACCTGGGTAACTCAGAGAGACTGTGTCTCAAAATAAAAAATAAAATAGGGCTGGGGATGTAGCTCAATGTGAAGGCCCTGGGTTCAATTCCCAGTGGCAAAAACAAACAAACAAAACCTCTAGTGCCTCAATCTAGGAAAAATAGGACGTGAAGTCATGTTATGTACCTACAAGAGGAATTAAGAAAATTGATATATATAAATAAGAGTATAAAATACAGAAAAGGCATCTTTTCTCCACTTAAATCATCCAGAAAAATCTGTCTTTTGGAATTGGTACATTAGCAGGTTATCTTCATTTTATATGTTATGATCACTGGTACTGATGATCATTGCTGGTCTTTTAGTTATTAAGGACTATATTGGGTGAATGTTTACATAAAGGTAGTACCTTGAATAGGTTTCATAAATATCAAGAGTCATGCTGACAATTCTTCATTTATAGCAAGTATACATAGACCTGAATTTTTATGTATACCTTGTGTTTTCTAATCCTGCTAAATTCAAATACAAGTTCTAGGGGCTCCTAGAGATTTCTTAGTATTTTCTCTGTAGATGA